CAGACTGTGTTCTTTAATCTTCATCAGTAATTGATATAAGTCATTCTCACTTTTAGTGAGCAAAGTTGTGTTATCAGCATGTCGCAGGTTGTTAATGATTTTTCCTCCAATCCTGATGCCACATTCTTCATATAGGCCAGCTTCTCAGATTATTTGTTCAGTATATAGATTAAATAAGGATGGTAAAAGGATACAACCCTGATGCACTCCCTTCTTGAGTTTAAACCATGCAGTGTCCCCTTGTTCCATTCAAATGACAGCCTCTTGGTCTATGTACAGATTCCTCATGAGTAAAATTAAGTGTTATTCTCCATGTTTTTTATCTTATTGGGATGTTTCATACTTTGGGTCACTGTGTCCTAGTAAACATTTATTATCTTACACTCCTAATTCCTGAAGAGGATTCTATGATTGTTTTAATGACCACCTGTTGTTCTTGAGCATGTAGAGGAGTAAAACTTAAGCTTTGTAGAGAAAAAGCTGACTGTATGGATTCCAAGACTAATGATGTAATCATGTACAAACATATAAATAAAGTAGAACAAAAATATCAGGGGTTGCTCTTGCAGAATATGCAGGGCATCCGCCTGGCCCCTGTTCCTTTAAAATAATAAAGAAAGCCATTAATCCTTTCATGTCACTTTATTTTGTGACCTGTGCAGTTTTGCCGGATGCAACACTTCCTCTTTGTCGTTGTTCTCTGTTACATCAAGCAGGATATCCTTCTCCAGGGAATGGTCCCTTCTGATAGCATAACCAAAGTAGGTGAGACAAAGTCTGGTCATTTTCACTTCCAAAGAGCATTCTGGTTGCACTTCTTCCAGGACAGATTTGTTGTTTCTTTTGGGAGTCCATCGTACTTTCAGTATTCTTCACCAACACCACAATTCAAAAGTGTTGACTCTTCTTCAGTCTTCTCTATTAATTGTCCAGCTCCAACATGCATATAAGGCAATTGAAAATACCATGGTTTTTAGTTAGTCACACCTTAGTCTTCAAGGAGATATTTTTGCTCTTCAGCACTTGAAAGAAGTTTTATGCAACAGATTTGCCCAGTGCAATATGTCATCTGATGTCTTGACTGCTGCTTCCATTGGTGTTTATTGTGGAACCAAGTAGAGTTTGGTTTAGTTTATAGGATAAAGTGGCTAATTCAGAAATATCAACCCAGTTATGGAAGTATCCAAAGTAAATATGCGTACAAGATTGTAAACAGAGAACCAGAGACATCAATTGACAAATGAGGACAACTACAAACCAAAAAGAGGGAAACAAATTGTATAGTTACAGAACTTCTAAATGGTAGGGAAGTCAAGACAACTGCAAGACAGAACAGACTATCCTAAACTTGGGAAGAAAATTATAAATCACAGGGTAAGCTGAAAGAAAAATTATAAATCTTCACATCAAAATAAAAAAAGAAGACCAGCACAGGTATTTAGCAAATAATAAAACAACAGCAATGAAGTAGGTAGTGACACGATTCACAAACAAAAGGAGCTCAGCACAGAAAATTATATGGAACAAAGAAATCAGCAACACCATGTAAAGCACATAACAAAACGACAGCAACAAATTTGTACTTGTCAGTAATTACACTGAATGTCAATCAATTATGTGCACTACTCAAGAGACAGAGAGTTGCAGATTGGATAAGAAAACATAGCCCATCAATATGCTGTCTACAAGAGACACACCTTAGAGAGAAAGACAAAAACAGATTAAAATTTCTGAGAAGCTGAGCATTGGTTTTGAGCACTGTTTTAGTACCTCTGTTCTGAGACATTTCCCTATCCAATCCTATCTCATCCCAATTACCTTCATCGATGGGGGATCTAAAGACAGAATTAGCAGTAAGGATTATTATTATTTTTTTAAGCCCTAGTAATCCAAACTCTTTCTCTTGATAGATAAAGAAACTGAGGCTCAGAAAGGCAAAGAGGATTTTCTAAAACCACATAGCTAATTAGTAGCAGAGCCCAGATTTCATTATTAGGTTTTCCAGTGTGGTTGATTGTACTGTTTCTAGAGAATGTTATCAAAATGGTGTGAATAAATTGGCAAGTGTTAATGTTACAACAAATGAACAGCAATGCCTTTCTTCTCATGGATTTTTTTTTTTGTCAGTTTTAAAAATGACTGTTTTTTAATAAAATTATGTAATTCCTGGAGGTATTTAAAGAAGAATCAGGTTACAGGATGTCTCATTCCTCTTGGAGGCAATCGGAAATCTCTACACTCTGGCCAAAGACTTACTCTCACCTTTTCTCCCTCTCTCACCACTGCCCCCACACACCATCACCACAACCACATGTCATTCACTTATGAATAATAGCAGAAACCACTTGACCATGTGGGCTAGGATGCTCACAAATCCAATTTTAGTCAAAAAAACCTTCAACAACCAGCCAAACAGTTGTTTTCCCTTCTCTGAAACAACTGCAACCTTCTACAGCTTGAAAAGTAAATATATCTCAAACAGCCACTGGAAAAAAAATGAATGGATAAAAACTTGAGAAATAATTTTATGACTACATTTAAACAGAGTTTCCAGTCCTTAGCATAATTTTGTATACATTTCCCCTGTGATAACTATTCCTCTTCACTTTAGACTAATCTTTTTCTGTTTTCACTCCATTCCCCTTTTCACTATCCTCATTGAATGGTATCCTAGAAACAAAGGAGATTAGTACCAGCCAAGTCTGGAAAACTAACAAAACCATTTGAAAGAACAATTGAACATACTGTATTTGGTTTAAACAAGTCAGATACACCTTTCTGTTTTCCTCAAGACTATTTTGGTTTTTGCTGGAAAAAAAGGCTCAAGTACAGTATTTTAAACAAAATAAATAAAATAATAATAGTTGCATAGTACCCATAAAAATAAAATAAAATAAAGGAGTATCAATATTTTTCCAATATAATGATGCTTATTTATCTATTTATCTATCTATCTATTTATTTATTTATTTACCATTTGGGCTAATTAAAGATTTAATACTCCTACAGATAACAAGTTAAGCACACCTTAGCTCCTTCATCAATAATTTTTAACCCTAAATGTTCTGTAAATATTTCAGTTAACGTACCTATACAATTATAAATAAATTCACACTTTTATTGATTGTTGTTGTTATGTGCTATCGAGTCAGACCTGTCTCATAGCGACCCCTCCTTGGGTTTCCAAGGCAGTATTGCTACTGAAGTAGATTGCCTCATCTGCCTTTTGAGGAATGGCTGGTGGGTTTGAACCACCAGCCTTCTGGTTAGCAGCCAATTGCCTTAGGCACTAAGCTGACAGAGCTCCTAAGAATTTAATTTTGCCCAGTTGGTTTTTTGAAGGAAGACTCCAGAAAAAAAAAAATAAAATAAAATAATAATAATAATAATAATAATAAATCTATAAACTCCATAGTCTCTATTCTAAATTTTGTTCCTTAGAATCAATTTTAATAAATAAATAAATAAATAAATCAGATCCGACTCATAGTAATCCCTCCTTGGGTTTCTGAGGCAGTGTCACTATGGAAGTAGATTGCTCAATCTTCCTTCAGAGGAGTGTGGGTTTGAACCACCAGCCTTCTAGTTAGCTTTCAAGTGCCTTAGGCACTATGCCACCAGGACTAATAGAGGTATTTAAAGTTATTTACCATTTTTAATATTCTGGCTGGACATCTCCTTAGCTTAGTCTATGCATTTTTAAATGGCACATAGGTTCAATAAATTATCGAACAGCGAGATTTTGGCAAATATTTTCTGATATATTTTTGTTTGTTGTTTACATTAATTTTCATTTTATATTCATTTGATATTCATTATGAAAATTTAGTATTTACATTCAGTTTTCAAAACTATTGTACTTCTATTGAACAAGGAATGATTCCCATCATACATCAAAAAATACAAGTTACATGATTGTTCTATAGTAAACTTTGTATCATATGCTAGTCAATAACTCAATGATTCATGCTTATTTCTGAAGCCCTAATTTCAGAGCAAAAAAATACCACTGGAAGGTATGACAGAGCTCAAATATAATTTTAATGAATCATATTTCCACAAAGCACATCAAAAAGTTGGCAAAGCAAGGGCACAGTAGTTTCATACAACAGAAAAAAAGGAATTAAATTATATGAATAAAACAACAAAACAGTTTTGGAGTGTTTAACCTGTATCCATTTTGGTTCTTCCTTTCTGACAAATTGTGTTGCTATCAAATAAAATATTTTTCCATCCACCTTTTCAATGCCTCCTTGACTTCTTTATTCCTCACACTGTAAATAACAGGGTTCAAGACAGGTGTGAAGATGGTATAGAAAGCTGAGACCACCTTATCATGGTTCACTGAACGGTATGATTTGGGCCTCATATAGATGAACATGAGGGTACCAAAAAATAGTCCCACAACAGCCAGGTGAGAGGAGCAGGTTGTAAAAGCTTTCTTCTGGGCTGCAACTGACTGCATGTGGAGAACTGCGGCAAGGATTAGGCTGTAGGAGACCAAAATGAGAGCCAAAGGGATCAAGAGCATCAAAATGCAGCAGATGTACATGAAAAACTCAAAAATTGAGGTGTCAGCACAGGCAAGCCGCACCAGTGATGGTGCCTCACAAAAGAAGTGATTGATTTTCCGTGAGTGACAGTAAGGGAAGCTTAAAGTGGCACCAGCCTGCATTAACCCATCAGCCCCTCCCAAGAGCCAGGAACCTGCTGTCATGAGCAAGCAGAGCCTCTGATTCATGAGTATGGGGTAGCGCAATGGATGACATATGGCCACATAGCGATCATAGGACATAGCCGCTAAGAGGAAGCACTCACCCCCTCCCAAAGTGAGAAATAGAAAGATCTGGGCTCCACACCCTGTAGGAGAGATAGACCTAGTGTCCATTAGGTAGTTGACTGCCATTTTTGGAACGATGGTTGAGACCAACATCATGTCCATGAGGGAAAGCTGGCTAAGCAGGAAGTACATGGGTGTGTGGAGTCGAGGGTCCATGTGGATGAGGATGATCATAAGGGCATTGCCCATTAGGGAGATGATGAAGATCATTAGCACCATGGCAAAGAGAAATAGGTGCATCTGTGTGTGATTAAAGAGTCCTAGAAGAATGAAGTTTATAATTGTGGTGTCATTTGAATTCTCCATGGCTCTGTTGGTGCCTGAAAGATGAAAGAATGATAAAGTAATGAGATTTTCTTAAAAAGAAGTTTGGGCACAAAACCACATAAAAAATTGGCAAACCTTCCTTAGGTTTCCGGGACAGTATTACTATGGAAGTAGATTGCCCAACCTTCCTTCTGAGAAGTGGCTGGTGGGTTTGAACTGCCAGCCTTCTGGTTAGCAGTTAAATGCCTTAAGCACTATGACAACAGAGCACCATTTAATAAATACATTTGGGAAATCTACACTTGGAGGGCTAATTTTTATTTGAATCTTTCACTTACCAACAAGGTTTTTGCTATAGCACACATCTCTGCTGTTATTACAAACTGTTTTTTATTTAACCAAAATTGGATAGCATGCTTATACGCAAATGCATTGCCCATAGTGACACACCCTTGGGCTTTCGAGGTGGTATCACTACTGAAGTAGATTGCCCAACCTTCCTTCCTAGGAGTTGCTGGTGGGTTTGAACTGCCAGCCTTCTGGTTAGCAGTCAACGGCCTTAAACACTATGCCACAGTGGTACAAATTAAACCATTATCATTTTATAATATTTTGATGTTGTTGTTGTTGTTATGTGCCATCAAGTCGGCCCCGACTCATAACGACCCCTCCTTGGGTATCCGAGGCAGTATCACTACGGAAGTAGGATTGCCCAACCTTCCTTCCGAGGAGTGGCTGTTGGGTTTGAACCGCCAGCCTTCTGGTTAGCAGTCAAGTGTTTTAGCCACTATGCTACCAGAGCTCCTTATACCACATATACATGAATCATAGTGTTAAAAATATTAGTTACAAAATCCAAGTTCTTTTCACTTTTGGTATTTCTATGTTAAATGAGATTCAAATTTATATATTTTAGTCTATATTGAGGTGATATGTTTCATAATTAGTTTTACATGTGTATTAGATATTTGACTAACATTTTCTCTCTTAATTTTCTTCAATATCAAGATAAATTAAAATTCCAAAAGTTACAAAAATTGTACAACTAATGAAACCAATTTGCTGGGGAAAAGAAATTTAACAAGTTAAAATCCACCATTCCACACTGAAATGTGGCCTGCACATTAGGCTTTCAGTCACCACAGATACTACTGCATTCATAGCTATATATACTTAATTTTATCTTGACTTGTGTTCCTGGTTATGGCCTCTATATCTCTTTATATTTATAATCCTCTCATCATTTAAAATTGGGATGTGCCATGTTCTCTAATTAAGCTGCCCAATAAAAATGAATATATCCATTCTAAATAAATAATTTCATAAATGAATATAACAAATCTTTATCTTTCTCAGATTTTCACATCACTTTGGCCATCAAATATCTTATATTCTTAAAAAATGGCTAACCAAAATTAAACCTTCAATTCCGACTTACCCAAATGTACTTATGATCACAAAATGAGCCTGAGGTCCAGAATCTCTACAAATAAAATAAACAGATACTCATTTACTTTTAGCAGTAATTTCTCTTTTCACTAAAATATCTAGCTCTCATTTCTTTTATATTTAATAATTTTGAGTAGTAAAATAAGATGCATATGTAAGCAGCTTCAACTACTATACTTAGGTGAAGAGTACCTTTTCTTTCCTTACAAATTCAGATTGTCAATATGAACAATTGATTCTGGATTAATAAGGGAATTATGTTTGGGCTTCATTCATAATCTAAAGTGTAGCTTTTTTTTTTTTTTTTTTACTTTCTATGTGACTTCATTGGAGAAGAGTACAAATATTGTGAATGGTTTTCATATCTTTAAAATATAATACAATTATCTGCTGCCTGGCATATGACAAAAATGACATTAATATAATTAAAATATGTAAATGTAGATGTTCCACAAAAGACCTATATAAAGAAAACTACAAAATACTATGTCCTACATAAATGAAAGAACAAACCATGCTCATGGCTTTGAAGACTCAATGTTGTGTAATTTCAATACTACATAGCCAACTATAGATTTGATGAAATCCAACCCAGATTCCATAAACATTCTTTAAGGGCATGGAAAAATTCATCACTGATTTTTCATGGAAAGAAAAAGAGATCTTAGATAAGCATATCATTATTGAAGAAGAAAAACAAAGTAGGAGTTCTCAAACTCCTTGATCTCAAAACCTACTATACAGCCAAAGTAATCAAAACAGCATGTTATTGGTACCACAAGAGATTCATAGACCAGTGGAACAGAATTAAGAAAGAAATCCATCAACCTATGGAAAGATTATCTTTGACAAAGGGCTAAAATGTATTAAATAGAGAACAGGTAGTGTCTTTAACTAATGGTACTGGAAAAACTGAGTATCAATTTGCAGAAAAATGAAACAAGATTCATGCCTCATATCATACACAAAAGTTGACTCAAAATGGATAAAGGACCTAAATGTAAAACCTAAAGCTATAAAATTCAAAAAACAAGCTACAAAACAATAATGAGAGGGAGCTAACTATGGGTTCTAATTATAGCATAAGTAGAGTAACAAGCAACAACAAAAATATACAAAAACAGAAGATAAGCAAGATTACTGGGACCTTCTAAAATCTAAATTCTCATATTCATCAAATGCTTTCTCCAAAACACTGAAAAGAGAATCTACAGATTGGGGAAAATTATTTAGAAACAATGGAAACAATATATCAAGCAAAGGACATGTCTAAAATTTATACAAACCTTGAACATATCAGCATCAGAAAAAAAAAAAAAAA